GCCTGATTCGCGTCAAGCGGGAACTCCCAAGGCTGCCCAGGAGACTGTTGCCTTCCGTGGCCAAAGTCTGAAGCAGGCTCCAACCCAACACGTCGCCGTACGTCTTGCGTGCTGTTTCCTGACAACTTCTTCTCCAATTCGGTGGGGGGTATGGCATCTGATCCTGCACTCAGATAGCTCATTGCAGCTCCTGGAGCAGGGTCCAACCCCACCAAAGTTCCAAAGGCCCCCCCCCCGATCAGCGAGAAGGTAGCCAGTTCTGATGATGCAAACCATAATCTGCGCCATGATTCCCCAGTTCTGGAAATCAGGAAGGAAGCACTGTCCGCATCATCTCCCTCACTGAGAGTATGAAAGACTTCCGAGCAGAACAAGCAGGCAACTCACTCAGTTGCCTTCCCGTGGCCCCAGGGACCCCCTGGGCAACCCGGGCTGGTGAAGCTCATAGGAGCGAATCGCCTGCATCCAGGGCTGACGTGAGGTCCTCTAAGAAAAAATGAGAGACGCCTCCAGTCTTCTATGGCACAATCACACATGAAAACCATGACCTTCTCCATCTGCCAATAAGCTTGTTGAGCCTCTTGCACTTTGTGCCGCTTCAAATCTTGGGTGTCAGGCCCCAGCTCAGAGCACAAAAAAAAAGGCACGCGGCGCCCAACTCCGCTCGCTTGACCCCTCATCGCCTCATAGGTGCCGTTGTCAGCGCAAAGCTCCGACGGCACCTCAGCCACATGCAGCTTGCTGGATGGAACGCTGGCACTCTGAGAGCTCAGAAACGGGTTTTTGACGGCTTTTGAGACCGCTACGGGTTGAGAGGGGGGTTGTTGTTGCAACACGGAACAAGAAGTCCTCTTTTTTGCAGCTCCGAGAAGAAACAACGGCCCCTTTCCCTGGCTGGCTCAGAGGCTCAAGTTCCATGTAGACAGCTGTGGGAAGCAAGCCACAGTCCACTCCCCGCAAGGCCAAGGAACTTGATCCACCCATCCAATCCACAAATGTTTCACCCAAAAACTTGCCCAGCCCCGTGCCGCCCCCAAAGTGCGATTGCATTCCACCTTGGCGCTCTCAAAAAAGCAACACCCTTCCGAAAACGAGACCGCAGACTGAAAGACTGCCTCCGGCTTGCGCTGGGCTGCCGACTTGACCCTTGCTGTTCCTCTGGTTCAGCTTTGCACCAGCCTGGCGCAGCTCACAATTTTCGTCACCGGTTTTGAGAAATGTGTCCCCCCCCCCCCCCCGAAATGTGATGGCCAGCAGTTATCCAACGTTTCGACTCAAGAAGTTCACCTGCTGGACTTCACAAACACAGACTGCAAGCAGCATGGCCTGCAGCAATCTAATCACAACCTCGCGTCTGCCGACGTGGACCTCACAAACACGCAAATGGATTCCAAAGCTCCACATGGAATCCAAGTCTCTGAAGCTGAACTACCTCAAACTCCTGTTGCAGCACCCACACATCTGGAAGCAGCCAGACCCCCATCTTTGGCACTCGTGTTGGGCTCGGCTTAAGCAAAGTTTCTCTCAGGCAAAGGCCGCAATGTGTAGCGGCGTCCAGCCGGCCATATCGACCGCCTGTCGCAGAGAGGTGGGTGGGCCCCGCTTCGCACTTGATCAAGGAACGCATGACACCACCTTTACCAGATTCTCGAGCGGGAATGGCCGATTCATTCAAGTCTGTGTCACAAAAGATCTGGAGAGAGCAATGCCTCACATTACCATGGAGAGGATGCAGGGCGGGATTGGACAAGGCTCTATTGCGTCCGTGGAATGGAAGGCTACATGGCAGTCGCAAACTTGATTCAATGGAATGAGCATTTGTCACCACAAATGGACTGCAAACTGATCCACGCAAAACTGCAAAGTGTCACAGGCACCTCCAGCAGCTGCTTATGCTCCATCATCTCCTGTCTGGATCCAGATTCAGCACATCAAGTGCTGGGCTGACTTGCTTGCTCTCCACTCACTCTCCGCTCGTCCACACAAATGGGAACCTCGCGTAACTGGGACCCATGAGTGCCAAATGCGAGGCATGTCTTCGCCTCGCGAGGTCCACACCTGACTCAATCAACCATCCCCCTAATTTGATGACAGAGAACTCTGCCCTTTGGGGGCCAGCCCAGCATCCTCAGCTTGCTGGAACACCTCACAAAAGCTGAGCCATCATGAATGCGGTTGCTTCCACACCAAGCCCAAACTTTCCGTTCAAGCACACAAGGGATGGCCGGAGAACAGCTATGTGATTTGAATCAAAGCAAGTGGATGATCTGTGTCATGAAAGTAAGATGATACATTGCCTGACATGTTAGATATGTCGCATGGACTAACACACTGGCAAAGACATGGCATGACGGTCCCAACTCTACGCGACCTGAGGTGATACGACCTGACCTCAGGTGATATGCTGCGGAATGTGTGTGTGTGTGTGTGTGCATGCGCATGTGTGTGTGTGTGTTGTGACACAGCATAATTTAGTGTAGCCTGATATGTTCTTGTGGGGTGTTTGCGCTTGCGTGGTGTCATGCGTGTGATATGACCTCTTGTAGATGCCATGCAGTATGACACAATGCAACGCGGCACAGCATGATACGAAGTGAGGCAACATCTGGTCATGCCTTGACATGACACGTCATGGAATGTTGTGGCACTACCTACAAACACAGCACATGATGCGGCACCATACGCTACGCTATGTTGCGACATGGTTTCACATCGCGACATTGTCTGATGAGACGTGTGAGAATGTTGTGATGCGCCACGGTCGCATCGGGATGCAAACTGATGTGAACATTGGCGTACTACACTTGCACTGCCACGTATGGATGTGCAAATCCGAAGCTAGGAATGGGACGGCTTGCTTTGCGGTCTCAATTAGCCCGTGTCGCGTAAAGCCGGCAGTTTGCGCGCATTTTCCACTGAGGCAGGTTGAAATAATTGAGCCGGAGCAGGAGCTGGCCACGCAAGAGACAAACTCGCGGCCACCAGCGCAATCAAAGCAACGAATAATCATGAGCTTCTGAGTCCCAGCGGCTTCAAGGCCATAGTCCAAAGCACATGTAAAGCAGATATGCAAGCATGATGCCATGATTGAACCTGCAAATATCCGATGACCTGATGACCCGTCAAATAAGAGGCATGCTTATCAAATGATGACATGCCACTGCGCAAACATGTGAGTGATCGCGTGCAAGTGACAACATGCAAATCTGATAATGACGCTGACACGAAACCACCTGGGCAGCTCAATGATTCGATATACACACCCTCACGCATACACCGACACAGACACGCGCATTGGAACAGAACTCTGATCTTCAACATGGCACAAGCTTCTCAGAAAGGAACATATTGTTTTTGATATGGGTGTGGGTCAAAATTAAACCACTAGGGCACCGCAGGTTTTAGTCCATGTGTCCATTTACCAAGGTTCCATCTTGGGTACCTATTTTTGACCCACAGCCACATGCTTTCGAAAGCACCAACAGTGCTTCAGGAACCTGCAACCAAATGCCGCGGCAGTAATGGAATCCCGGGCTGGCTCCTTGACGATGGAGAGGGTGCCGGAGCGGCAAGCCACGTGGAGGCATGTCGTGCTGTTGGCGTCGCAGGCGTCCCAGTGCGCTCCTGGATTTCCGGCTGATAGAAGAATGGGGAGGGCAAAAAACTGCAAGATAGTTTTGGCTGGATGACCACCAAGCAACAAATACTAAGTATACTTCAGAAGGGCCAACAACGCCAATATTAAATTGCCTGCTGCCACAGTGCTGCGATCATGCAGGCATGTCGCTCTGTCAAACTGAAACAACACTTTGAGTTGTAAGTGTTCCGAGCCTGACCTTGTTTCACTACTTTCACTTCAACTTTGGACTTGCTCGTCTTTGAAACCAGCCCTTCGGCTTGCTGGCAAGCCTTCGGAAGCAAGCGGCACAACCTGAGGCCCCGGGCCCAATTGGATAAGCCACCGCACGGCCGCCAAATTGGAGGAGCCACAGAAGAGCATAAGATGCCGGTCGAGGCTATTGAGGTCCTTCGAATTCACTCGCCCGTCCGTGGGGCAGGTGGGTCCGAAACGTTTTCCAACTGTTTGGTTTGGTGGCTTCCCAGCTAAATGAGACAAGGAAGGGTCCACGTTATTCACCAAGGTGACTGCAGCTGGTTCAGGGATGGAGTTCTAGACTTGGGCACGCCTCTCTATCGTAAGGTGATCCTCAGAGCCTGGCTTTCGAACCTCGACCTTTTTTGGCCCAGGTTTGGCTGTCGGCGCAACATAGGCTTGCTTCAAAAAAAGGCAGCCCTCTCCTCTTTTCGCTTGCCCCTTCGCAAGGCCAAGCAGGGCACCCTCATCTTGAGACGAAAGCAACTCCTTACGCCAATCAACCAAGTGTTTGGACCATTTTGCATCTGCCGGAGGTCCCCAACGCCGAAAACCGACCCTCCGGCCAATGTCGGTTTAGGACATGGCTGCTTCGCCTCCAGGCTGCGCCGACCATTGCCCCGTCCTCCAGCGTCTCCTCGAAGGTGGCGCCCGCGGGGTCGCCCCCGGGCCGGTCGTCGTCGAAGTCGTCGCCGTAGCCTGCCGTTGCAACGCTCGGCTTTGCGGACTCAATCGGCTTTTAGAAGCGGTATTGAAATCACAAGCCAACAGGCAGGCACAAAAATGCCTTCTGGGAGACGAGTCCCTGCAAAGAATAGGTGATTCATTGTCCCTGCTGGCCTTCTCTGCTGTCGAACTTGCGGCAATTTCGCCCGTAGAAATGGAAGTGTGTGTGTGTGTGTCTATGGTATGTGTGTGTGCTGTTGCGTGTGTGTGTGTGTGTGTCTATGGTATGTGTGTGTGCTGTTGCGTGTGTGTGTGTGTGTGTGTCTATGGTATGTGTGTGTGTGCTGTTGCGTGTGTGTGTGTGTGTCTATGGTATGTGTGTGTGCTGTTCGTGTGTGTGTGTGTGTGTGTGTAGTGTGTGTGTGTGGTGCTGTGTGTGTGTGTATGTGTGTGTGTGTGT